TGCTGTACCTTCTGGAAGTTGACGTACTTCGAGACGGCACTGAAAGCAGGCGAATTTGTCTTCACAAACAATACTTTTAAAAGGCGTACTAACTTGGCCTTCCCCATAGCTCATGGTAATACGTCCTCCATCTCGTTCCTCAACTACTTTCATTCCCAACTGATTGGTCCAGTAGTCTAGGAATCGTAAGTATTTGTCAGGATCGTAGATTGTGTATTCAACACCTACCAACGCTTTTCTTCACATCTTGTACTCTAACGCCTACTTTTACTACTTTTGGAGATCCCTTTCCAGGGCATATGAGGAACCAGTGACCATCCGGATCTGTTATCTGAATACAAAAGTAATCCGTTATAATATTCAATCCGAACAAAAAGTTTAAGGAATTGAATAGGAGGGGGATAAAACGGAAATTGAAGAATGTTCTAACGACTTGAGAAGGCTAGTGGATTAGGATCGAAGGATGTTATTTTTGCGAATAACTCTTTCCTCAGAACCATAAGGCCCACCCTTCCGCGGAGACTGGTTGCCATCCTCACCTTGTCATTTCATTGGACTTCTTCAGAACGTCTTCTCCTCTCCGAACGACAACTCCTTGAAATGTTTTTAGGGCGTATTACATTCGAAGAATCTTAGGCATTTCATCAGTAGGAATCCCCGTCAATCACCACATTTACATTTTCTTAAAGGAACTACATTGTTAGCTTCTCAAGACTGGATCGATACGAACCCCTGTTATGAATTATTCACCCAAAACTCTTACCTGTAGCTTGCCGCAGGGAAGTTTTTTTGCACTGCCGAGCCGTTCGATGGACTTGTGAAGATCGTCAGATTCAATGAAAATTCCCTGCAAATAGATTAGCAAAATTCCGCTTTACGTCGCTCTGGACTGTCCTACAATTATAAGAGCCCTTCACTCACCATAAAGTCGTTGCCAAGTCGATAAGAGCCGATCTCGTAGTTATAGGTCAACTCCAGGACAAAATGATCGTCTTCACTGCCATATCCCACCATTGTCTTACTCCATTTTCCATTATAAGGCCTGGGTTATGGTCAAAGCAGCATCAGATGGATCAGTGATGGATGAAACCAATCAAATGAAAGGTCATACCCATTACATTCTGCTTTGCATCCTTCCTCAAACTCTTCATGCCGCAATACCTGCAACGATACTGAAAAATAGAGTAATCCAGAATAATGCAAGTCCTTAGAAGTTGCCGCAAGGCATAGAATGATTCCACTTCTTACCTTCATTCGTAGGGTTTTTGTGAAGAACTCATACGAAGCTTTTCTGTCGCCGATTTTGAAGACATAATGAAGAGCTCTTGCTGTCATATCTTCTTCAAAAAAAGCTTTAGTTACGGAACATATACTAGAAACCGGGAGCTAGCATCGGAATCAAACAAAGAAAAGATCGGGAGCTAGAACACTAGAAAGAAAATCCAAGAAGAATTGTAAAACTAAGAAAATCATCAGAATAAAAAACAATCCCATGGACTGCACTAGACCTGCACCCATTAATAATGCTGCAGATGAGCCCTGAACACATCATGTGCTTCTGTCCTCAACATTGTCTACTCTCGTATCGCTCCAAATATCGGCATTTAAGAAAATCAATCAAGGGAAATAAGTGGGCACAGAAGTTCTAGCTTTTGACCACAACTTCCTCACCGGTTACTCTTGCCTCTGAATGAACGAGCAAGAGCGAAAAAGAGGAAACCAGCACGACTAAATACACAATCTGGCAATCAGGAAACAGGGATGTTGTTGCAATCGCAGTTGCAAATTCACTGTGACATCAAAAACCAAGCAACAACATGCACCGTGACAACAACACGAGCGGGACCTCGCTCGTGTTGTTTACGTGTTGGTGCCTCGATGCGAATAAACACCATGACGTTGGCCCGCTGCTTCCCCATGGCCTCAGCCGCATCTTGAGTAAAAGGTTACAGGTAGCCGGCTGGTTTTTAGGTAGCCGACTACGAGTTCATTTTTCCACCTTAATGACAGTTCGAAGGATCGATGAGGACCTGTTCGAGTATCTAATACACCAGTGCGACTGCAGTCTCATCCCCTTACATTGTTCAGTTTCCAGGCCGATACAATAGACCTACTTTCTGAATATTTGCTTCAAGTGCACTACAACAAGTGTAAGCCAGAAATATAGGTATAAGAAACTAATGAAGAATGAGCGGAAGAATGCGGAATTGAAACTTTACTCTTGATTGAACAGAATGAGCGAAATCATTAAATACTCGCCTATTCATCTCCTCGTTTTCGTTTCCTAGTTCTCAATGGTCTTTCTGGTTCGTATAGCTACGGGCATACGAAAACATCCACATAACGAATACAAACGCTGTTTTCACAAACTAGTCAATAACTAACTGTATAAATACCTATATTAGTTGCGTAGTAAAAATTCATCCGCAAAACTTTGGATATGATCTCACAAACCGACCCTAATGGGTAAAGGAGGTAGTGTTACGAGGCTCACTAAAAAAATATCACACTGAACGAAAAACCATAAATCAAAAATGGAATTCCAGTCGCAATCAATCCTATCAATATGAATGAAATCTAATGATAAATCTACTTCTGCTCCTTCAAAAACTGATAAACAACTCCAAAATCTTTGGTGGCATATCTAGGA